AAGTATATGTGTTTTCGATAGATTGATAAAAGAATAATCTTGTGAAACATAGCGGTCAATTGTCTCTGAAGAAATAATCAAATTAATTTAATCAGATTAAATTAGAAAAGAAAACGAAGTTCATATACACATCTATATAAATGTTCTTATAAAACGAAATGTTGTGTGCGGACTACAGGAATAGCGGAATAGAGGAATAAAGGAATAGAGGAATACAGGAACAGAAGAAGGAATAGAGGAATAGCGGAATAGCGACCGACCGGAATACATTTTGACATGCTCCCTGACCACCCTTAGTCTTTATGAGAACGGTATAGGTGACCAAAGAGCTGAAGCAATTGCGGATGCACTAAAATCCAATCAGACTTTAACCCATCTTTTTCTTCGAATTAACCACATAACTGATCAAGGAGCTCAAGCAATTGCTGATGCACTAAACCACAATCAGACTCTCACCACCCTTGATGTTACATATAACTCAATATTTAATCAAGGAGCTCAAGCAATCGCGGATGCACTTAAACACAATCAGACGCTAACCACTCTTCCTTTTGGCTCACAGTGGGCCCAATTTGAAGCAGCTCAAGCAATCACTGGCGCACTGGAACACAACCAGACTCTCACCACTCTTAATCTTCGATATAACAACACAGCTGATCCAGGAGATCAAGCAATCGCTGATACCATAAAAGAGACTGAGACCCCTGCCGGTCTTCCAGTATCAAGTAATAAAGCATCACATAGCAGTCCAAGTAATAGACAGTGCACTGGAACATGATCAGACTACCAACGCTCTTAATCCTGGATACAACAACATAACTGATCAAGGAGCTCAGTCAATCGGTCATGCACTGAAATACAATCACACTCTCACCACTCTTCGTCTTTCATCTAACTACATGGCTGCTGCAGGAGCTGAAACAATCGCTGATGGATTGAAACACAATCAGACTCTCACGACTCTTAATCTTGGACACAACAACATAGCTGATCAAGGAGCTCAAGGCATAGCTGATGCACTGAAATACAATCACACTCTCACCACTCTTCATCTTTCATCTATCGACATGGCTGCTGAAGGAGGTCAAGCAATCGCTGATGGATTGAAACACAATCAGACTCTCACCACTCTTAATCTTGGATACAACAAGATAGCTGATCAAGGAGCTCAAGGCATAGCTGATGCACTGAAATACAATCAGACTCTCATCGCTCTTAATCTAGAATGTAACGCGATAGGTGATGAAGGAGCTGAAGCAATCGCTGCTGCGCTGAAGCACAATCAGATTCTCACCACTCTTGGTCTTCGATGCAACAACATTGGTGTTCATGGCGCTCAAGCGATCGCTGATGCACTGAAGCACAATCGGACTCTCACCACTCTTAATGTTGCATATAACAATATAGCTGATGAAGGAGCTATGGCGATGATTGATGCACTCCTACAGAATGAGACTCTAACCCATGTTGATCTTGGGGAGAACAATATAAGCTTTGAGGCAGTGGAATTCATGGATGTTGCACTGAAACACAATCAGACTCTCATCGCTCTTAATCTAAAATGTAACGTGATAGGTGATGAAGGAGCTGAAGCAATCGCTGCTGCGCTAAAGTTCAATCATACTCTCACCACTTTAGATCTATCCAGAGACCGAATAACTTCTGAAGGAGCTCAAGCAATCGCTGATGTGCTGAAGAACAATCAGCCTCTCACCACTCTTGATGTTGCAGGTAACTCAATATTTGATCAAGGCGCTCAAGCAATCGCAGATGCACTGAAGCACAATCGGACTCTCACCACTCTTGGTCTTGGATACAACAACATTGGTGTTCAAGGATCTCAAAGAATCTGTGATGGACTTAAGCACAATCGGACTCTCAGCATTCTTAATCTTGAACATGACCAATTTCGTCATGAAGGTGCTGAGTCATTTGCCGATGCACTGAAATACAATCACACTCTCACCACTCTTGATCTTTCATTTAACGAGGTGACTGCTGAAGGAGGTCAAGCAATCGCTGATGCACTGAAACATAATCAGACTCTCACGACTCTTTGTCTTAAAAATAACAGCATAGGTGGTCAAGGAGCTCAAGCCATAGCTGATGCTCTGAAACACAATCACGGTCTCACCACTCTTTATCTTGGATGTACCAAGCTAGCTGTTGTAGGGGCTCAAGCCATGGCTGATGCACTGAAACATAGTCAGACTCTCACGACTCTTTATCTTGAAGATAACAGCATAGGTGGTCAAGGAGCTGAAGCAATCGCTGATGCACTCACAGGGCAGGTTCATCGAACCTGCATACAGGCAAGCCTCGTGACTCACTCTCCCATCTGCGTCCAGCAGATCGCGATCGCGCTGCTGGCAGTCTCCTCCAAGCTAAGAAGAGTTACTTAGAGAAATCTCTAAATAAATTTTCAATGGAAAGGAACTATTTATATAAATATAAGATTGCACATATTCCGCTTTTTCGAATTATACACTAGTTATGAGGACTTACCGCTAATTCATCGCGATGAGTCATCGTTCTTTTGCCATTGTTAAATCAAAACGGCTTCGACAGTATCCTTTCCGCACAATTTAGTTCCTAAGTGCAGTTTATTCTTGCGACATGAGAGGGACAACGATGCATTACGTTTTTGTTTGTAAACGTTATGATACTGCATGTGTCAGATTACTGCAACAAGTTGGAGAAATACTGCCAAATTCTCGCATTAATATGAACCGTATTCTTTACATGTATACCCCTTTTTCTTTTTTAAAATTCTATTCATGCTTTTGTATTGTCGGTATATTCGTTTGCGAGAATCGTTGATCTGTAATGCCATTTAGCGATTGATTTACTAATAAACGTGTTTAAATTAAGTTCATATATAACGTCATAAAAGGATTCTTTGACTGTACAGTTTTGTCTCCTGCTCATGAATACATTCTCAGAACTGATGAATAATATGATGGAAAAAAATCGTGACTACTACCTTTTAATCATTAGTTAAACGCAAATATGGAAAGTTAGGATTTGATTGATGGTCAAAAGTTTCTGGCCACATGCTTTTTCTTTTATAGCTTCAATCAGTTCTGGCTACATTTTTCTTCGGAAGATAGAAACTATAAATTATATGATTCGTAAATCAATCGTTCTGTTGAATTGTAAAATACTATTTCTAAGTAATAAAAACAGCCAAAGCTTCCAAAAAAGTCTAGTATCGCCCGATTAATCTAGATTATTAGATTTTTACTCGATTGCAACTGCTATGTAGCGACAGTGGAAATCTAGTAACTGGGCGATTATTAGATTTTTTCTAGTTGCAACTATCGATTTATCGCCCGATAATCGATCGATTTAACTATTACTAGATGCACCTGAAGACGCATCTAGTTAAAAGCCCCTTTTCCAACTAGTAATCTAGATGGTAACTAGTCGTGTATCGCCCGATTACAGACGAAATGTATCTAGATTTTTCCCATAGGTGATATTTGCTTGGGAGTTTACATTTCATATTTTCGTTTTACGCATATGTGTTACTGTTTCACATTTTTACTGTTTTGTTTCTTTACATTGCTAAAACCTTTACGGATTTACAATTTTATAACGGTTTTTTTTCTACAACTTTTTATAATAAACGCATCAGGATAATGGAGAAAAAGACGTAGATCAGATCGCAGTTAGTCAACATGGGTTTTATAATAATTAAATATGTATTCTTTTACTTTTTCAAATTCTGGAGATCTTATTGTACATCATTTAATTATTATAAAACTCACTGTGACCGACCTGATCTACGTCTTTTTCTTCGTTATCCTGATGCATTTATTATAAAAAGCTGTAGAAAAAATACGTTATAAAGTTGTAAATCTGTAAAGGTTTTAGCAATATAAAGAAACAAAACAGTAAAAATGTGAAACATTTTATGTGGCTCAATTTTTAAGACATTTTAAATGTGGCTCATTTTTAATTGAGATCACTATCTTTCCACTCACTCTCATTTTGTGTTTCCCGCCCTGTGATGTTTCGTTGATGTTAATTTTTATATTACACATTTTTTCAAAAAAGTGATCTCAATTAAGTAGCCTCCGCCAGAGGCGGATACTGTAACAGATATGCGTAAAACGAATATATAGAATGTAAACTGTTTGTTTTACTTAGAGATAGTATTTTTTTATATGTGTTAATCTGTTCATAACAAAATTTGTTCTGGTCAGCACAGACACTGGGTTTTTTGTTTTCGCTAATAAACAACAACAACAGTTCTTAGCACAAACAGCATCGAAAATAAAACGCAATAAATCGTAGAATATATTCTGCATACCCAGCAATACCTCAAGAACGAAAGCAAAGTCTACAAATGTGCCCTAAAACAGCTTTAAATTATCAAGAATCATCTTAGGCACGGTCTTTTTCATGAAACAATGCTTCAGTTCAACAGTGCCAAGTTCAATGAGAATAAACGCTACTGTCTTAGCGCCTCCTGGAAAAATAATTATCTTTGTAATCGTTGAGACTTTAAAATGAAACAAACTTTCAGAAATTGTTTGACTAACAGTCGCTCGCCCAAAACTTCAGCTCCATCCATCTGGCGCAAAAAAAGGCGATTTGTTAATCTCTCGCATAGTGCTATGGAATGCAGAGAGTGACAACAAACACAATTTTCCTTCTAAGACAGGGGCGTCTGTCCTGTGGGACGTTTGAGACGCCATGCCTCAAATAAAAGTAGGTGATTGTTTTGAAAAGTCGATATGAATACAAAGTTATATGAGATATTTTTTAAATTCTAAATAAATACTTTTTCTTCGTACTAACTTTATTTATTCCAAACGTTTCGATTCACAGTTCAATCTTCCTCAGTGGATATAAACATTAATTAAATTAATTAAAATTACATAAACAAAACAATTTGAAGAGAAAAATTTTTAAAATAGGGATTTCCCTTTTCTGTTATTATAATATATACAGTCGATAATGAAACTATAGCCTGATAAGCATCTTTAAAATAATATACATTTATATCTCATCTTATAAGACATGGTAGTTCAGAAAAGTTCAAGAAAAAACCATGAAAGTTTTGTCTAACTGAACTACTCATCATATTAATCATAGATCATATTAATAATAATAGCAGCCTTTTAACTATTTTTATTTCTGTTTTACATACATTATCTCTCACTACCATGGCCCGAAGAGAAAGCCGGAAAGTCATGGTAGTTCAGAAAATTCTCTGAAAACTCATTTGGCTTTTACCTTACCTACTTTTTCATACGTTCAGCTGTGATATTGGCAGCCTTATAACTTAAAAAGTAAACGGTACCTTTTTCTAAAACATAGAAGAAAAAAACATCAAAGCAAAGAAAAATGACATAAAAGAGAACGATAGAAAAGCGGAATCTTTGATGTCTACTGTTGAATATAGTGCAATAACGGGTGGGTCATAAATAATGTCCCTCTCCGTATTTTTTTCATAACTCATCCCCCTTTTATCCTAGAAACTTAATTTTATTTTTAAAAGATTCCTTATTCAATTCTGTATAAAATCAATGGTTTTTATTAACGTAAATAACATCCACTGTTTTTAGAAATATTTGACAAACGAAC